CACACACACACACACGCACGCACGCACGCACGCACGCACACACACACACACACACACACACACACACACACACACACACACACACACACACACAGTGTCAATTATCCCAGTTTTTAAACACAAATAACTTGTGTCTGTTGAGTGCTTTCTAAAGTGTGACAGTGCCGTGAATTACTTTTCCAACTTTGTGCGTCTGTATTCTGGGAGGCAGTAATGGCTGTAACATGATCCACGTCTCCACAGTCCTTCCAGTTTTCCTCCTCCTGCATCCTACACCAGTCTCTCTGCCTCACTGTTCATCCCGTAACAGCGGCTCTGAAACAGTGATTGGTTCTGCTTTATGATCTATGGCTGTAAATGTGCTTTCTCTCACACGGGTCATTACTAATTAAACATCCTGATCCCGATTGTATTTTCATAGAGCACATTAACACCGTCCCTCAGGCATCTGGCCAGTGTAATGGCTTTGTAATCTTCAGAGGTGAGAGATATAATTATGCTGTCCGCGAACTATTAGAAAATACCTCTCACTTGATATACAACATCTAATTCTCAGTCAGTTCCATCAGTTTGTTTCAGTTGTGAAAAACATTTACTCCAGTATGTTTTTCATGTATTTCATAATTGCAGTTTCTAGTCAAAGAATTTAATGCAAAGTTATAGACTATGTTAATCAACAGTGAAACTGTTACCAAAGGATATCCTATAGTTACTTGCTAGGCATGATGCATTTACACTCAGTAATCTGGAATTTCAATGACCAGTTGAACATTGTGTTTTTCTTCTAATTGGGAGCAGATGAGTTCAGCAGAGTTTTCTTTTTTTGAAAATTCAAAAAGAGCTGCTCCTCATCCACATTCAAAAAAGTCTGGGTCTCCTAGCTGAGGTACACCGAGCATGCTCAGCTGGGAGGAGAACCTGGGCTGGATTATAATCTGGAGAGATTATGGCTACGTTCACACTGCAGGTCTTGATGCTCAATTCCGATTTTTTGATCAAATCCGATTTTTTTGTCTGCTCGTTCACACTACAAATAAAATTTACATAATAATGTAAATAACCTAATAATGATCCTTATTGCTGTTTTAGAGGAGCGGTGCTTCAAAGGATAGCTGCAGATTTCTGTCAGAATCTGCAGATTATACAGAACAAAGAAAATGTTCACGTTGTCTTACTAACAGTTTCACTGACATCTACACTGGAGGGCCAGGAAGCGTTCACGATGTCTTCTCGGGCGCTGATAATTGACATCTGTCTTGTGTCGGTGACGTAAAAGATGGATTTAATGCGACATGACCGTTCACACAGCAGTCGCTTTCTAAAACATCGGATATGTATCGGATTCAGGACCACATACGAAAGTGACCCAGATCGGATGTGAAAATATCGGATTTGTGCCGTTCACACTGTCACACCATGATCGGATAGATGGGTCGCAAAGGGTCAAAAAAATCGGATTTGATGCGCTTTCGCCTGCAGTGTGAACGTAGCCTTAGTCTCTCAACTGGACCATTTGTGTCTCACTAGAAGAGCTTGAGGATGCGGGAGGGGAGAGGGAGGTCTTGGCATCTCTGCGTAGACAGCTGCCCCTGCAGTCTGGATCCTGATAAGTGGTACAAAATGGATGTTTTTTGTTCTGATTCTATTTCATATTTTAGTTTTTCCTTCTTTATCATGTTTAGTGAGAATCTTCTCTGTGCTTAGTACGTCTATTGGGATGTTTCCTGTTTTACTTTGAAACTCTGCTTTCTTTGGTGTCATGTTAATACTTCCTGTGAGCTTGGTTGTCTTGATTATATTCACCTGTGTCTTCTTCCTCATCTGTTTCCCATTGTTAATTAATCTCATCTTCATTTTATCTTTGTCCTTCTCTTTGTTCAGTCATCATCTTCAGCGTTTGATTCCCGTTTGCATGACCCTTTCTGAGTTGGAAAACAAATTGAGAGACTGCCTCTGCCGTAGCAGACTTTCTGTCACCAGGATGTCTGGCTTGCTGATTAAGACTGACAGCATTACGTCCCCTCCCCCAGTGGTTGCTTAAGACAACAGCCTATCAATGCACACATTACACAAATCCCGGTGAACCTCAGCACCAGTGCAAGTCTCTGAAAGGGGAGCTCAGCTTTACTGTGTGACAACTTTCTGTCTTTATCTGTGTGCCTGTGAGGAGAGGCGTATTGATACGTGCAGCCATTTCCTTTAAAGCAAAGAGCAGTAATGAGGGAAGGGTAATCTAATGAGGAGCTACATAAATTGTAACAAGGAAGCAGCTTCTGTTTACCAAAACTCAACCCAGCTGCTTAATGTCCTCCTCCCTCCCTGATCTGTTTCTTATCTCGCTCTTGCTTATGTAACAGACAATAAACCACATATGAAATATGAGTTAGTGACATGTTCTGCTTTTTTGTGCAGAACGTGTCACTTTGTTGATGCAATGATATCTAGTGTTTGCAGACTTACCAGTGTAGTAAAAGAGTCAAGTCTAGTGAGGGTCTAAATTTTCACCCAGGAATGATACACACCAACCTGTGTGAGAACAACTAGTCCCGGTTTGTTTAACTGTTGTTCGCTGGAGCGCTGAGTATCAAGATTTGTCTGTGGCACAGAGACAAAAACTGAAACAGGATCTGAAAGCTGGCATTTAATGCCCGGTCAGATCTAGTTCAGTCTAATCTAATTCTTTGATCAGATAGTTCCGGGTTTAATTGAATGTAATTGGAATTTTAGACCACTTTGTCCTCTTGCACATCTTCTTATGCACACCATCAGTGTAGGTATCTTTGTACAGCACTTAGGCACAATATATCGTTCAAAGCAAGTAAAAAGGAAGAAAAGAAAAATCCATGGAGGTAATACAGCAAACCTTTTGATTTTCCACACACAGCAAATACCTTCAAGGCTCTTTACAAAAGAGGCTGTTTTAGACATCTTTGAGTTCTTGATAGAGTGTATCATCAAGCACTCACATGGGATTTTCAGGTGTGTTCTGCCAGTTGTCTTCTTGATCTTCTAACCTCAGCAGAAGTCTGGTACCAAACCTAAGAGACTCTAATCATCACACCCTGATGATCATATTCCTCTTTAACACAACAGAAATCCATCAACGTAAGAAAACAGTTGGAAGACTCAAACTGTGAACAAAATCAAGCTAAGAGGAACAAATGGGTAGCAGCTGGCCTTTTTAGGAGAAAAGGGAAATAAACTATATGTGTGTCTCATATCGTACTTCAGATAAAAATAAGAGGAAGCAGCCTTTACAGCTGTGCCATCAGACCACCTGCACCTCCATCTGATTTATGAATCTGCGTCTTTATAAATGTAGCTGTGTAATTAGGAGAGACAACAGCAGTAGTGGGTCTAAAGTGTGCTTCTTGCACATTGCACTCAAGTTCAGTATCAGTAGAAAACCAAGTTTATTGTTAACTGACGTATAGATTAAAATGTAAAGTGTGCGCTGTATAATAAAATGTTGCTGTTTTAAAAAAAGGTTGAATTAAAACAAAAAACTATGATTTTGAAATCTGCACAAATATGTTTGTCAAAGGAGCTTGCAAAGAAAAGCGTCTGGACTTCTTTAAGTTGCTTGAAGACGTTTCACCTCTCATCCGAGAAGCTTCTTCAGTTCTAGGGTCAAATGGTGGAGAGTCCCAGATATAAACCTAGTGGGAGTGACCCCCCACAGAGGGACAAAAGGACCCCCTGATGATCCTCTAATCGCCTGAGCCAAGGTGTGAAACTGGGTGTGGGTCACAATCAGCCAGAGTTTCGGGTGAGCTCATTGTGAAACCTGGCCCCACCTTATCATGCGAATTCCTGAGGTCAGATGGCCCAGGATGTGAGTGGGCGTTAAGGCGTCTGGGGAGGGATCTCAAAACTGGATTATAGATGGCAGACAGTTGGTGTCGTAAACCCCGCCTCTGTTCAAAGATGGTCGCTCACAGTGGACATAGATGCTTCTTTCACTCCTCTTTCAAACCATCTGTCCTCTCTGTCCAAAATGTGAACATTGGCAACCTCGAAAGAGTGACCTTTGACCTTTAGATGCAGATGGATGCTGAGTCTTGTCCTGTGGAGGTGGCTCTTCTGTGTTGTGCCATGCGCTTGTGAAGTGGCTGTTTGGTCTCTCCAATGTAGAGGTTTGGGCATTCCTCGCTGCACTGTACAGCATACACCACATTGTTAAGTTTGTGTTTTGGCGTTTTGTCTTTCGGGTGAACCAGTTTCTGTCTGAGTGTGTTGCTGGGTCTGAAATACACTGGGATGTCATGCTTGGAGAAAACTCTCCTGAGTTTCTCTGATACACCGGCTACATAGGGGACGACAATGTTGTTGCGTCTGTCCTTCTTATCCTCCCTCACTGGTGTCTGGTCTTCTTTTCTGTGCCTCTTTGCTGACTTTAAGAACGCCCATTTAGGATAGCTGCACGTTTTGAGTGCTTCCTTTACATGTGTGTGTTCCTTCTTTTTTCCTGAAGAAGCTTCTCGGATGAGAGGTGAAACGTCTTCAAGCAACTTAAAGAAGTCCAGACGCTTTTCTTTGCAAGCTCCTTTGACTATGATGACCTGGATGACTGAGAACCTTCACAGACACAAATATGTTTGTTTTTTCACTTTGAAATTCATTTATTAATTCAACTTTGTGCCTTTATTATCTGCTGCAGCCTCGTGGTCCCAGGGCCTCATTTCAGATTCAAGTGTCCTTGCTTACATGCTGCATACTTCTTTACTTCAGACCTTCTAATGCAATAAAGCCCATCTGCAAGTTCTGCTGATTTATTTACACTAAAACCCATCAATATACAGTACAGTATTTTGTAGCTGTTGAGCACTTTATGGTGTGGTATTGATACTAATAGACTGACCTAAAACAAAATGCATGAAACCAAAATATTGATAATAATAATAATAATGTAGCACCTTTGCAATAATGCCGTGGGTCAAACAGCTGGAACCTCTGAAGCTGTTTCAAACATGCGTGTCTCAATTACGTGGAAATCCTCCTGGATAGCAATGTATTTTTATTTGTATTAATAGATTTTTTTGTTGTTTGGTGAGATTCACCTCTTTCTTTCTAGTCCAACTTAAATACTAGATATTTACAGTACAGAGCAGCAGTCTCTGCATAAAGATGTATCTGCCTCAGTCCTGGCAGAATTACTCAGTCTGGTTCATATCTAGGGCAAAGCGTACGACGCCGCCACCTCTCCGAGGTCCGGGTCTATCCAGCGGTGGTTGTGGTTCTCCTCCAGCAGCATCCTGGGAATGATGATTACTGGGTCGGAGAACCTCGTCTTTAGCATCTCTAGGAGGCAGCACATGGTTAAGATGGCAGAGAAGGAGACAGAAAGAGACACGTGATGAAGCATTTCTCTAGGGCCAAGCACAAGAAGGTAATGGGCTGAGCTGAGCACCCTGTGACCGCTCATTTCAGAGAATATCTGGGAAAGATTTAGCAACACCGCAGGCTTCCTTTCTTCTTTCTTTGCTTCCCACAATTTATTACATAAAAAACCAAAGGATAAATAAAAGTTGGGAAAGCTGCTTTGCATCAATACAGGTTACTTTTTACAATCAGTACAGGGTGGGCCATTTATATGGATACGGCGTAATAACATGGGAATGGTTGGTGATATTAAAGTTCTGTTTGTGGCACATTAGTATATGTGAGGGGGCAAACTCCTCAAGATGGGTGGTGACCATGGTGGCCATTTAGAAGTCGGCCATCTTGGATGCAACTTTTGTTTTTTCAATAGGAAGAGGGCCATGTGACACATCAAACTTATTGGTAATGTCACAAGAAAAACAATGGTGTGCTTGATTTCAACGTAACTTTATTCTTTCATGAGTTATTTACAAGTTTCTGACCACTTATAAAATGTGTTCAATGTGCTGCCCATTGACTTTTGTCTTTGGGGTCATCTGAAGGCAACTGTCTATGGTGTGAAGATACGAGATGTGCAGCACCTGAAACTACGGATACTGGATGCCTGTGCTGGCATTTCTCCTGCGGTGTTGCTATCGGTGTGTGAAGAGTGGGAGAAGAGGGTTGCATTGACAATCCAACACAATGGGCAGCACATTGAACACATTTTATAAGTGGTCAGAAACTTGTAAATAACTCATGAAAGAATAAAGTTATGACCAAGCACACCATTGTTTTTCTTGTGACATTACCAATAAGTCTGATGTGTCACATGGCCCTCTTCCTATTGAAAAAACAAAAGTTGCATCCAAGATGGCCGACTTCTAAATGGCCACCATGGTCACCACCCATCTTGAGGAGTTTGCCCCCTCACATATACTAATGTGCCACAAACAGGACTTTAATATCACCAACCATTCCCATGTTATTACGCCGTATCCATATAAATGGCCCACCCTGCACTTTGACCCATTCGCTTAGTCGCAGCGCTATCACGATTTCCAGGATGCCAAGAGTACAATGAGGGTCTCGGGGTGTTCTTTGAAAGAAAGGCTACAAAATGCAGTAGACGATGGAAAAAATCCAAATCACAAATTAGATCATAAGCATGCACCTAGAGCTCCTGTCATAACTGATCAAAGCAGTGTCGCTTCCCTCATTCCATCCATACTTACCGCTCATCTCACACCCATGCTAACGCTCATCACAGTCTAGTGCAAAGCCTGGGCCAAATTACTGAACACAAACTCAGATTGCAGGTCCAACAGAAAACAGTGGCAGCATGCTTTAAAGAAAGAAAAGTCCACATGAGATGGATTTGTTTCAGTTTTGCATGTGACTACAGTGCATGAGTGACCTGCCTCGCACATAACTGGGGTCATACCTGAGCCGCTAACTCAACTAGTCAGTCATGCAATTTAACCGTGGGGAGTGGGTGCATTCCGGCAGCTCGATCGGGACTAGTCGCTCACGACTGGACTAAAACCCAAGGCCTCCTTAAGAAAAGCCACCTTAAGGAACCTTAAATGTAGGATGTGACAGCAGGCAGGCAAACGTCCCCCTCTAACCCACCTCCCCCCTTACTCTAGTGTCCATATGGAAGAGAAATACAGAGGGGAGTAGACCAGAGATAATGTGGTGGTTCACCAGAAAAAAAACAAAAGTGTGCCACTGTAATAGAAAACAAAAGTAAATGACAACTCCATGAGCAAGTATGAATGACAATGAGTGGCAATTCTGTGTCTATGTCTTCTTGTTGCTCTTGATTACCTGGGATTGGGAAGTGCACAGCCCCACAGGTGTTGCTTTAGAGTCTGCACCCAGCCAATATCTCGGATTGGCTGGCAGAGTTGTATGTAGTGGTACTGTTTTAGCACAACCCTTCAAATGAACCAGAATGTCACTGGTTAGCACAGGACATATTGGACACAGCATCATCCAAAATGTGACATCCTCAAATAGCATGCCCGTGCCACCGGGCTAAAGTATGAGAGAGAACAATGTGAAATGCAACATCGCGCACACGTCTGTGGAATTTTATTTATTTTTTTGGCAAATTCACTAAAAGCTACGAAGCACATGACATCTTGTTCTGGAATAAGTGTCTGGACATCCTCCCTCATGCTTGTTGCTCCATAAATCGCACGAGTTCTAAGAATATATTGAGACACGATGCAAAAATAATATATTCTTCGGTTCTCACGTGACGGCAACATGCAGGAGCGGGGAACGATGTCAGAGCTCGTGCCAGAACACAGCGCAATCTTTGATAAGCATAGAAAGAAAGTTGTGAGAGAAAATTCTCTTCCATGTGGATTTAAAAAAAATCTCGATATATTTTTTCAGAAATGTTGTTTGTCACAAAGACAAAGACTTGGACAGGAAGAAACACTGACAGATACCTGCAACCGGTAATTTTTCATGGTTCTTCTTAACAAAAAGAAGCAAAGAAGACACTGCTTTTTCTGCTTTTTTGGTTTTTGTTTGCATTTATTTGTAATGTTTCATTAAATATGAGCAAGCAGATAGAAACACAAGCACATCACAACTTTTTTTTCTTTTTTTTGTCCAAGACATCACTTTCTTTACCATACTTTCTATCCTTATTTGCCTAAAAATCATAAAGATAGCACCGGGTGTGTGGTGTGCTAAGCACTGTTTACATTTTACTGCCCCTACAAGCCCCCCCACCCCACCCCACCCCCCACTCCACCCCCCCACCCCCACCCGTGTTACATGACAAACCCCCAACCAAAGGCTGCAAAATGTTAAATGAGTCAGGCCTTTATCCCTGATGGAGCGAGTGCTCAGCTTGTGTAGATGTGATGCAGCGGTGATGGTAAGAGTTGCTGCTGTCTCAGACACCACAGCAAACAGAGAAGGGACTGTCCATCGTTCAGAATGGAGAGAAAGATGCATGAAAACAGAGGTGTGTGTAGGGTGGAGCACAAAGATAACAAGACTGTCTTCTAATGCAAAACAATGTGTCTCTATGTACACTAGGATGAAGCAGCTGATACTTTACAGTAAGTGCAGAATTGGACTCAGCCAGCATGTATCCCTGCTATAAACTAGTAGTAAATATAAGTTATATACACACAACTTTTCACAGACAAACAGTGTGAAACTTTCCTCGTGTTCTCTTTTGTTCAGCATCTTGCTGAAGGTATCCGATTTTCTCTGCACTACCATGTTCACTTTGAAGACAAAGAGAATCAACATTTTAATAAATAAACTCAGTGATTGAAGTAAAACGCGGGATTCAGAAACAGAGAGCGATGAACGATGGGATCCAGCAGACACATCGCTGTGCCTCTAATATCAGGAAAAAAGTATTTATAAGCACAAAGAAAATCAGATTACGGGAACTTTAAAAAAAATGCAGTGAGACGGTTGTTTTTTCTTTCAGATCTGTGCCTCAGCCGTACAGAACGCTCCTTTAAGGTGCAGCATGAGATGTCTGCTGTCAGCCAGCTGCAGTTTATAGTCTGCAGAAAAGCAGATGCACAACATGCACCTTCACACTGGGGATTTATGCTCCAGCAGGAAATCTACACCATAACCTACAGCGTAACTGACGTGGACCTCCATAGTAATGGAACTACATGTTTTTCGCTGCAATTTTTTTACATTTATCAGTGAGAGATAAACAATCACAGTCTCATATAGCATCAGTATAAGGACTCACAAATGTCAGCAGACACATGGGGGGAGATTACAGAAACTACAGGCTACCTACTGGGGGTGAGGTAATTTGAAAAGAAGTGGAAAAACTCGGGGGACAAATATGTTTGGCCCCAAAAATAACAAATGAGAACAAAGAGCAGCCTTTTATTTTGCTTCTGCTTTCTGCCACCGCATGTAAAACACCAGGACACGACCACGTGGCACATGGTTAACACACAACGCAGCAGCACAAGCATAAATGAAGTCGGCCACTTATGTAGGTTACATCAGAGGCTCTACAAAGAAGTCTAAATCAGACAGCACAGGGACCAGACCTGTTAGTAAAGACAGTGTTGGGGTGATTACACTGAACTATGGTCAGTGAGACTGACAGCTCTCGGCACTTGGCGAGAACGATGAGAAGCACAACATCTCCCAGTTTCACTGAACTCATCTCTCTCTGATTCTGAGAACCGACGTCACTACTCCCCGTCTTTATGTCTTTATGCCTGCATGACAATGTTATCTAGTTCAGGGGGAATACTCGAGTGCTCTGCAGACTGACTGGTGTTTAATGCACGATCAGTTTAGTGTGACCTAGATGGTTTGTTGGCTACGAACGGTGCGTTACGAAATGAAATGAGCCTCACGCGAGCGGAGAAAAATGCTCAAGTGTTTTTCTTTAGATGAATTATAAAAAGCCGTACAACAGAATTTAGTTCAGAAAGAGACACTGATTACGAATCACATTTGGCAAAGCTGATATTGCTCAACACAGACTCTGAGCACGTGAACAGAGAACAGCAGCAAAGATAACAGAGCAGGTATCAGACGCTCATCATGATAAACCAAGCGGGACATTTATCAAAGATTTCAGAGTTGCTGCTCATTTTTGTGCATGTCCAAAGTGCCAATCTGATTCATTTTTTCTCAAAAAAAAACCCACACAGGAGGGAAGAAACAAATCCTTGATAAATTCAACAATGCAATCTGCTCGGCTGATCAAAGCCATCCGCCAGAATTGCTTGTCGCTGGGCCTGTGCATTCAGCGATTGGCTAGCCAGGCAGCCAGTAGCCATGGCAACCTGGAGATGGAGGCAAGCAGAGTGGGGGGGGTGAATAGGCTGAGAGAGGGGAGAGGATGCTCACGCCCACTCTGAAGCAATGAGGCATAGCGTGATACAGGAGGAGCAATGGCGTGGCATGATCACAGCGCAGCATCTTATTCTAATGTTACTGTAACAGTGTGGCCAGGAGGTAGTGACAGAGCACTGAGGAAGAGGATGAGAAAGAGGCTTGGGGAGGAAGGAGAGACAGATGAGAACCGATGTGAGAATCAATTTTGCAGCCTCTGTGTTCGTTTCTCCCCGAAAATAAGAAAGAAAAGGAGAAGTAGTGCTAAATGATTTTTACTCTTTTGCCTCAGCCAGTTTGTTGTTCATCTCTTTACTTTTCTCCTTGTCCCCCACCGAAGGCCGGTTCTCGGGCTGGTTCTCTGAGGTCGCCTTCTTGGAGCCCCTCAGCACAGTGCTCTGCTTATCTTTGGGTTTCTTCGCTGGCTTGCTCTGGCCTGCTGCTGTGGCTCCAGACTTTTTGGATTTAGAGCGAGGGAGACTATACCTGTCAACCTAAGGATGGTGGATAGTGGAAAAGAGAATCCTGAGCTGACATGCCTCAGTGGTGTGCAATGAGATGATCATGGTAAGGATTGCACATCAACATCACAGGTCTCATTTCTATCACGAGATTTATTTGAACTAAAGTTTGGCAGGTGTGCTCTCACCTGTTTGCCGGGGTCTATGTAAGGCTCACTGTACAAACTGCGTATCCTCCTCCTCTCCACGGCCTTGTTGTCAGCAGGCTGCAGCGGGAACTGGGCCTTGAAGGTCGCGCTGTAGCTGGTTTCCAAGCTCGTCTTTTCATCCGGTGGCAGGTACTGGGACTTGGCCCGTATCATCTTTACTGGCTTCACGTCTCTGTACGCTTTGAATTCAGTTCTGTGGAGAAAAACAGGAAATAAGCTGGTGCTCATTTTTACTAATCCTGCAAGATCTACAGTGTAAGATGGCACTGTTCAGTATTGGAAGTTGGATGATAAATATTGACCTGTGCATCTAAGCTGTGGAGTTCAAATGTGCTTTTAGAGGACAAGGTCAAAGCCCACATGCGGAGTATGAGCACACTGTTAACCAAATGAATCAAAGCACTCGACCACCTCCAACTTATTATCAGTAAATAGCAGAGACAGCACCTGCTGGACGTCCAAACTGTTGTTGGGGACATTAATAAGGTATGTTTGAGATCTCTACTCCCCAAATTTCCCCAACATGCTAACGTGTCCAACCAGGGAGGACAGGACACTGGACCATGTGTACAGTAACATCAAGCATGCCTATAAATACACCTTCCCCTACCTGGGACAATCTGACCACCTCTCCCTGCTCCTCATCTCTGCCTACACCTCCCCCCTCAGGAAACAAACCCTTCAAGCACCCGGGTCATTAAAGATGATGGTCTCCTCCAGCTACAGGACTGTTTCATTAAGCGCTCTGTAGAGAGTGTGTCAACGACTAAAACCAACCTAAAACCCAGGATGATGAGTGAAGTACAGGCTCTGATCAGAACTTGTAACTTAGCCTTCAGGCTGAGAGACAGTTCGGCCAGAGCCAACCTGACGAAGGGCATCAAAGCGGCCAAGACGAGGATAGAGGGCTTCCTCACTGATAACAGCCCCCGCAAGGTGTGGAGAGACATCCAAGCCCTCACCAACTACAAAGGCCAGAGCCCCCACCCGTTTGCTTACAGGGTAAATCGGTCGACAGAGGATGCCGTTACCGTCAACCTTCACAGAGCGCTGAGCCATCTGGAGAACAGGAAGAGCTGAGTGATGATGTTCTTGGTGGACTATAGCTCACACCCCTTGCCACCTGCTCGAGGATCAAAGACTTCCAAACCAAGTCCCAAAGTCAAATGATCACTGCAGCATTATGAGAGTCGAAAAACTCTCTAAATCCTTTCATCTTTAATAAAATCATCAGTGTTGCTGCTTTACCAGGGGTCACAATTAAGTTTAACATCCAGGCATCCATGAAAACAGGATTTATTAAATTTAATGGAGTTAGAAGTTAGCAGGAAGTTAGCAGGAAGTTAGCTCGCTAGCTTCCATCTAAATATATCTGACTGAGGGATTTCTGAAACAAATTCAAACGTACAGCTCTGCTATCACTTTCAACATAAATGAAGACAGAAAACTAAACAGCAGTGACGTTTGTAGGGTTACTGAAGTTGGGCTAGCTGCTATATAATGATGTGCTACGTGAGCGCTAGCTACACAGCTATCCTAGCATAACATAAACACAGTGAAGCTGGAGGATGAACGCTAACAATTTTCCACTGGATAAAAGTTAACGTGAGGGTTCCCGATGGTTAGAGACAAATGCAATCACATGGCAGGATGCTGTAAACGGACCAAACTTCAGTCAGGAGAACAACTGAGATAATCCATCTACAATACCAGGTTAGTCATTAATATACTGCTGCAGGGGCTGGGCTGGAGTTACATCACATTACATTACATTTTAGGGGCTTGTTGAGATTAAATAGAACAAGATACAAAACATTAATACATGTCAAAAACACAACAGCCTTACTAAACGCAGAGTAGTTTGGGCCCAGAAGCAGGATTCATCACGTCATCACTAAAGACCGGATTCTCTTGTATTCTATTCTATGTGCTTATTGTGCATCTTTATAATACAATGGCCATCGAAAGGTTCAGCCTTGAGTCAAAGTGAGCATTTGTGCCAAATTTAAAGAAATGAACTGAAGGTCCTGAGATATGTTGTCACAGGATGGCAAAAAATGTGTGAGATCAGAGTAATCCTGACCTTACACATGATCTCACCAAAATCATTTCATGATGAGTCCGAGCAGCTGTGTTTAACTAAAGCTGAAAGAAAAGTCCCATTTGTGTGGGCCTTTGTGCCATTGTGGTGGTTGTTTAACGATCATCACTATTAGAATCTGCATAGTTTTGCTGTTACTAACTTTAGCAATGCTTGTGTAGAGAAAAACTGTAATGAGTGGTGCATTACTACTGAAGAGCAGAGAATGTCAGAGGTAGTGCAGGTGGGAGGAGGTCTGCACCACAATTTGATGGTGTGATATCCTGTAGTCCTCCTCACACAGCATTTCTGAAGAAGGTCAGCAGTATGGCATTCCTTCAGTGCAGGCTGGCCTGCAGCATGTGCTCTGTATCACTGACATTTAAAATGTATGGCTAGCATGATCCACACAGTGTCTGGATATGAGCTGTGTATTAAAGGCATTTATTTTACATCACCCTGCACAGCTCCATCGCTCCTGTTTTAATCACACTGTATTTTTCTCTGCAGCGCGTTGTGTTCTTTTAACATTAGTAGTCCATGCATGCATGCACCAAGCTTGCTTTTACAAACGTTAGTGAAAGACTGAGTCATTCTAAAGAGCTCGTTGGATTTAGGGTCCACAGTCCACCATCAGCTGTATACTCAATATTACTGCAAAGTGAAGTGTTTAGGAACCACAGCAACTCAGACCATGTGAGGTTACAGCATGAGGTCGCAGAGTGCTGAGGTACATAATGCAGAAACGTCACAGACAGCGCCGAACCTGCTCTGGAAATAACCTCAGCATAAAAACTGTGCACCAGGAGCCTCGTGCCATTTGGTTTCCATGGCTGAGCAGCTCCTGTAGGCGCAATCTGTAGGCAGCCCAGTATTCTCGTCCACATAGTGTCTATTGTTTGAACACAGGTTTGCTCTTCAGCTACTTAAACATTTTTTAAAAGTATTTTGAAAAAGATTTCTAAACAAATATGATTTTAAAAGTTTTAGTAATCTGGATGAAAACATATGAAACTTGGATTTCACTATTTTTTGGCTTATGTTCTTAAGATTCAAGCTCGTCACGTGGTGTTTTGCAGCAAAATGCTGAAATCAGGTAGCTAATTACTAGGGGTGCAACGATACTCGTATCGATATTGAACCGTTCGATACAGTGCTTTCGGTTCGGTACGCATATGTATCGAACAATACAAAATTTGTAATTTATTTTATCAACTTTCCTTCTGACGATGCTGTCTGTGTTGAGCGCTCAGTGAATCTGCGTTCGACTACTCCGCCTAGGCTGCACTGTGGAGCGCAGATCCACTGAGCGCTCAACACAGACAGCATCGTCAGAAGGAAGAGCGCAGGGCAAGCTAGCAAGACAGAAGTTAAGCTCTCCTTGCAACATGGCAAATTGAACCTCCCCCACCCTCATTCAGATCTGGCGTTTGGAATTATTTTGGTTTTCATGTGACGTATGACCCTGAAGGTAAGCGAGTCATGGACTAAAGTAAAACAGTATGTTGGATGTGCCACGCAATGCTCAATTACATGGGTGGGAACTAGTGTGTTAGCGCAGTTAGCTCGTTAACGTGTTGGCTGCAGGGGTAGCTCGTTAATGGAGATTTGCCGTGTTGTGGCGTTAACGTCATTTCAACGAGATTAACGCTGACAGCACTAGAGGGAACACAACGAATATGACTGCACATTTACGCCGACATCATCCTAGTGCAAAGACAAGTGGAAGCAGACAAAAACAACAAGCATGCTACAAACTTTACCTGAGTCATTTAGACAGCCGTTAGCACAGGATTCTCCTCATGGGGACCTGATATGTTTAATATTGTGGCGAGCTCAGACAAGGAGGAGACGGAGGTGTCGTTTGGTCTTGCTTCCCGTGAGCTAGCCAGGGAGCACAGCCGTTTATTGACATCTGCAGAAGAACACTGCCGCTAGCTAACTACTCAGCGCGGCAACCGCACAGCAACAACAACAACAACACACAAGGCGCCCTCTGACCCCGGAAGGACACACCGTCGCAGCGAGAGGGCGTCACCCGTCACTATGGCAACATAAACAAAACATAACTGTACAAACAGAACCCCGAACAGCCCTGACCCGCTACAATATGCTGCTGAGAATATAGCCCAGAAGAAGCGTATAGTATAGCTTTTATTTTGGAAAGAGACATTTCTCTGTAATAAACTCTCTTTTCCAAAGATGAGTGATTCCTCAATCAGATACAGGGCTTGCAATATCGCTAGCCCGACGTCCCGGGGCTAGCGATTTTTTTCAGTCAGGCTACCAAAATCTCTCTGCCCTGCCCGTCGGGCTATTGTAGGAAGCAAAAATATATGTCAATGCTTTTGCATTCTTTCAGAAATGTAGCTGGGTAATTATGTCATTGGCATCGGTGAGCCACTGTCAATATGTGACATATTGAAATCGCGTTTGAATTTGCGCTTGTTTTTTTGCTTTCACTTTGCAATCGCGCGAACTGTGTATAGAGAGCGACAGTACTGATCTGTGAGTGATGATAATTTGCGCACCAATTCCTCTGACATCATCTTATCAATCGTTAGCTTACTATGCAAACATGACAAGTGAAATCTCCCGCAGCTTAAACATATGAGAGGTTGATCGCACAGAGAATCGCTGAGCTTATGTGAGTGTGTGTGTAAAAGCAGCAGGATATATATTTCAGTTCTGCTGAGCCAAATAAGACAGGTCAGGGTGAAGAAGTGACAGCCAAAGAAAAGCTTACCACAAAACGGAAAAGTTATGACAAATCAGACTATAAGGCAAAAAGAAAGTGCAGCTTTATGGTTTCATGGACAGAATAATTTCTGTGGCTGCAATATGACGAGCTAAATAACCAGGGCTGCTCATAAGTGGTCCGCAGGTGCGCATTCGCTGTCAAAAAAACCCCAAAAAACGCGCACAAGATATGAAGTTGCAACGCGTGTTTGCATACATAAGATTTTCTGGAGGAGGACAGACATTTGTTTAAAACTCTTAAAGATGTCGAAGAAGTTCCTTTAAGCAATTACTTTGGTGTTCCTCCACCTCCAAAGAAATGTCAGGAGTCCGAACCACAAAAGAAGCGCGTATTCTCGCAAAAGTGGTTGCAG